GCTGAGAGGCCTGGTCCATCCCCAGTGACTAATTGTAACTAATTGGGTTTCAGGGGGAACTGGAATACATACAAGTTTTGTTTCATGGCCTGCCAAAACCTTGGTCACCTGGAATCAAAGGGCAGCCAGGATTCTAGACAGGATTGCACTCATGTGGCCTCTCTGGAGCCATCATTCTGACTCTCCCTGTGGTTCATGGAGGAGTTGTGGGTTCTGAAAAGGATTAAGAGACTCCTACAGCACCACTGGAGGAAGATAAAGGATGACTGACCAGACATGACTTTGAGCTGCTGCAAAGGCCTATTTCATGGTAATAAGAGTGATCAAACAGCATAATTTCTCTGCCCTTATTGAGTCCACAAAATGTCACCCCACAGCTCTAATCTGGGTCAACAGGTCCCTTCTGGGTCAGGGGAGCTCAGTTGAACATCTTTAGGATTGCGCAGAGGAATTTGTTCAACACCTAACAGAAAAAAATCACTTGGATTTGTTTCCAGTTGAAACACATGAAGGGTGAAGGTCTGTACGAGATGCTGGGGAAAGATTTTTCCTGGTTATCTAGGAACAATTTGATCCTGTTGGACCTGATGAAGTGGACATCTCCTTGAAACTACCAGTGCAACCCGCCTTTCAATTAGATCCTTGTCCCGCCTGGTGGTAAAAACCTCCAGGATTAGTATGGATTAATATGGATTCAAGCAGTGATAAATCCTTCACTGCAGGAGGGGATTTACCAGAGCCTTTTAAAGAGGCCCTGGTTCTCTCCTTAAAAAACCATCACTTGATCCCATCTATCTGGACAACTTTTATCCAGTTTCTAACTTCCTTTATTAGAAAAGGTGGTAGAAAAGGTGCTTGCTTGGCAGCTTGATATGGTCTTGGATGAAATATCTGAACCGCTTCCTGTCAGGTGTCAGTCTGTTATGGGACAGAAATGTTATTGGTGGCATTAGATAATCTCTGGCAAGAAATGTAGGGTAAAGATAATGCAACTATCTTTGCTCTTCTTAATCTCATAGCAGCTTTCGGTGCCATCAATCATGATATCTTTTTGAGCCAGCTGCAGTGTTTGGAACTGGGTGGCACAATTTTGCACTGGTTTGGCTCTTTATTCCAAGGCCAGTCCCAATTGAAGATAGAGAGAGAGGTCCAACCCATGGCCACTTGTTTGTGCATGCCACATAGCTGAGTATTTTTCTCCCCACCTCTTTTAAACATCTATCTGAAGCTTCTGGTTAAGATCATTCACCACCAAGGATTTAGGATCATGTTGATAATACTTTGCTTTATATTTCAAGGGTGATCCAAGTGATGCTATTGTTGCCCTTTTGCAATGCCAGGAGGCTGTGGGGACATGGATGGGGGCAATAGACTTTGGCTGAACTCTGACAAGACCAAATGGTTTTGAGTGGATGGAGTTTCAAGATATGGGATTTTAACTTAATTCTGGATGGAGTTGCACTATTCTACTCTATATTCAATCCGTAACTTGAGGGTTCTCCTGGAGTCATGACTCTTGCTGAAAGAACAGCTTGTAGTCACGACTAGGCAAGCCTTTGCGCAACTTCGTGTTGTATCCCAGTTGTAGCCTTTCCTGGATTGGGAATCTCTGTGTGCAGTCATTCAAGCTCAGGTCATCTTATGTCTGGAATAAGGCAATGAATTCTACATGGAGCTATCTTTGAACATTCAGAATCTTCAGCTGTTGTAGAGCATGGTAATGTGGACAGTTCTTGGGGCACCTGGGGCAGTTCAGATTGTTTCCCGGTTCAGTTCAAAGTGTTGCTTATTACCTTTAAATCCCTGCACGATGAGGAACCATCTCACCCACCAGGATTAGCCCTCCCACCTGTATCAGTTATTTAAGTAATTATGGCTGGTAGAGTCCAGGAGAAGTGCATACTCTGCCATGGCTTTTGCTGTTCGGAACATCCTACCCCTTCATGTGAGATTGGCTCCGATTCTTCTAACCTTCTATAAGGGCCTGAAGATTTGCTAGATGGCTTGAGGCCACAACGGGGGAGCATGCTGGTTAATGAATTAAGAGAAAATTCCCCCCCGCCTCTTGCACATCCTTTTAATTATAGTTCTATTTTTCATTGTAATTTTGGTTTTTATTGTTAGACATATTTACCTTTTTTTTAATGTTGTAAACTGCCCAATCATTTTGAAATAAGATTGACAAAGAAAGAAAAAGAGACAGAGAAGGAAAAAAAAGAAAGAAAAAAAGAAAATAGAAAAGAAAAAGATTACTCCTTTGAAATGCACTTTGCTATATAGTTTTAAAATGCACTTTGCTATATAGTAATCATGAACAGTGAATATATAATCTCTTAAAATACTCCCTTGAGACTGTTTTCCCAACTTTTCAAAAAATATCTTCAGTTGAGCTGCACTCTTCTATTGGTGAGAAGCTGTATAATATCTCAATCCAATAGAATCCCATTATATTTATAAATTATAAACTTCCTATTTTCATAGTATATTATGAAAAACATTCATTTGTGCTATATTCTATTTCCTGCTCTCACCATTTTCTCAATATTAAGTAAATTGAGAACATTTTATTGTGTGCCTTGGTAATGTATAGTAATGTATCTTTACAGTGCAAAGCAATCAAAGATAATAAAACAACATTAAATTTTCTCTTGGGTCAGAGGCAATTTTATTAAATGTGATTTGATTAACATTTGTAAGCAGCTTTTATGGAAAGAAATTTCAATACATTTTATGGTGCTCAGTTCTAAAACAAACTTTGTGTGACTTCCAAACTTAATGAACTTTGTCCCCAGCAAAATATAAGAAAATATAATTTAAAGCACATTTTCACAGACACAGTACAATACATTCACTATACACAGTATAACAAAATAGTCCCATTTCTGTCTGTTTAATACTGCCACAATGACTATGTAGATAGTAATGGATTGTAATAGTGGAAAGAATTGACATGCAACATTATTTAACGGTTAGGTTACTCAGTACTTTTTACCGAGAGCACAATTAAATGAAGTCAAAATATTAGATAAAGCTTTAAGTATAGCAATAGATTGTTATATTAGGATATCTGTTACATCAAACTATTACTGATGCTAGTACATAGATTTTTCTGAAGGTGGGTGTAGGGTAACTTGTCTAAAAGAGCCTAAACCCTCATTATGAGAGATCTTAGTTGGAAAAAATCTTTCTTAGTGAAGAATCTTTGCCCACTCAGTGTTTATACATGTTCTAATCTAAAAGAAAAGAGACTCGTATTTCCCATGTCATTTATATATAAATACAAAATACACAGAAAAGGATTATCTGAAAAACTTAAAATAGTCTCATGCGGGAGACAAACTCCCAAGTTAGTATTAACTTAGCTTTTGCATACTAAATGTTAACTATTACTTTAAACAAGAGAATGCTGAAGGCAGGAGAGCATCAAATAAATGAAGCGTTCAGGTGTGGTTTCAGGAACGCTGCGTTAGAAGTCTACCTTGGAATTACCTGCTTCAAAAAGTGCTTCATTTCAGTAAGGCTCATGATGTCTCACAGTTCATAAAAGAAATGTAATGCTAACCTGTAGAATACATCACACACAATAAGTTTGCTTTGTGTGCATGTGTACATGCACACATACCATGTGTATGTATATATGTTTATGTGTGTGTACATATACACATATCTACATATACATAACATAGCATATATATTACAGGTAGTCCTTATGACCATTCATTTAGTGACCAAAGTTATAATGGCACTGAAAAAAGTGACATCACTGTTTTTCACACGACCCCATGATCCCATGATCAAAAGTTGAATGCTTGGCAACTGAGATGTATTTGTGATGGTTGCAGTGTGCTAAGGTCATGTGACCACCTCTTGTGACCTGACAAGCAAAGTCGATGAGGAAGCCAGGTTCAGTTAACAACCAAGTTACTAATGTAATAACTGCAGTGAATCACTTAACTCTGGTAAGCTAGATCTTAAAAATGGGGCAAAACTCACTTAACAACTCTCTTGCTTTGCAACAAAACCTTTGGGCTCATTTGTGGTTGTAAGTTGAGGTTTATCTCGACACACACATGGCAAAATCCAAAGGTACAACGAGAAGCTCCCTTAATATAAATACTGTACCTCTTAATAATATGCTTCTTTTTTATTTGCAACAATGATAGTTGCAAGAATTGGCAACATAAAACATTTAAATTTATTGGCAATGAAGAACTACAAAGTGCTTTAAGGACTCCATCTAAGATGAAGATTAATTTATCTCAGAAAATTTGCACTTCATTTCCAAGTATCTGCTAGTAGTAGACAGCAGAGACCAATAGCAGGACCAGGAAAAGATAGTCCTCAGGAATTTGAGTGGGTTGTTAACATTAAATAACGTAAGTTCTGTACAGATAGAAGTAGGAATTTTAATGGTAGAGTGATCTACTAATTCACTGCAAAATTTTCAGCATTTCAAAAGACTAAAAGAATTTGCAAGATAATATAAAATACAGCAAGCACACCTTTTATGTATGTTATTTGAGTATGAAAATATTCTTCGAATATGTTAAACATTCTCTTATTTATAATTCCAATACCTATAACCTTGCTATCCTACAGATATCTCTGTTATGTAAGGCATATTAACCAGGTGGATAAAAGGGAATTCTTTTGGTTTTTGCAAGCACATAGGAACTGATGTATTGAATTTCTTCAAACACATTACAATCTTGGAAGTTATCCTAGTGCCAAGTTTTCCTCCCCCGTCTTTATTTAATACTATGGAACAGCTAAATATACAATGTTCCCTAATTCACCTTTGGGTGTGTGTGTGGGGGAAACGGAAAAATTCTTTTAAAAAATCTGTAGCTTTTAGCACCTTTATATTAAAGTAATGTATATGGGCATGATGATTACATGTGCAAATGTACAAAATCATTAACTCTACAAAGATACATCATTCCAAAATTACAGGGAAAAAAAAAAGTAAAGCATGCATTTAATTTCTTCAAATGGGTTCGCTCAATGCTTCCCAGGAGAAGGTGGCTGTCTTAGAAATCAGCAACTGCTGGTGTGGATTCCTTGGCACATTTGTGACCAGCATCTTATTGCTGCATCTTCCTGATAATCTCAGCGGACACTGGTGGGTGGAAGTTGATTGTGTGGTGCCGCAGACCCTGAGCTGTCTTGTAACTCTTTCCACAGCGGCATTTGAAGGGTTTTCGCACCCGGATCTGTGTCCTGTGGCCATTCTTGGCATGATACTTTATACCATTCACATTCTATGACAGAGGATTAAACACAAAGACTTTAGTAGGAATGCTAGAAATATTGCCAGACTGTTTAATTTTCAAAGCAAAGTGTATCTATCTTAAGAAGCCATTTAAAGAATATCAGGAATTTAACTACAAATCTAATCTAATCATAGGACAGCTTGAAATAGGAATAGCAATGGCACTTAGACTTATATACCGCTTTATAGTGCTTTACAGCCCTCTCTAAGCGGTTTACAGAGTCATCATATTGCAATTTGGGTCCTCATCTTACCCACCTCGGAAGGATGGAAGGCTGAGTCAACCTTGAGCCTGGTGGGATTTGAACTGCCAAATTGTAGGCAGCTGGCTGCAGAAGTAGCTTGCAGTACTGCACTCTAACCACTGCGCCACAGAGGCTCCTTAGCAAGGACTTTAAATGTTCACTTTTCTTGTAATCCTGATAGTTCCATTGTAAGCTTTTTATCCTATTTCTTGGGAAGACCAGAATGATAGAAGAACATACAATATTCTATTCATGTAATCATGCAGAAACTGCACCAATCTTTATAAGATCCAGATCGCAAATCTTTTTTCTTGTTCTAACAGCCATTTAGCACTTTGTGTATAACTTGAAATCACTTTCAAGTGGTCCAGCCATTTGCAAGCCATCTTGCAATAAAATACTGATATTAAAGTAAAATTTATTAGCAGGAAGAGAGAACAAAACACTATAGCTATGAACTCAATTCAAGTTTAAATTCCCATGTCTATTAGAACTCTTTTAGAATTTTTTTATTGGCCAAGTGTGATTGGACACACAAGGAATTTGTCTTGGTGCAAATGCTCTCAGTGTACATAAAAGAAAAGATACATTCATCAAGAGTCAAGAATCATAAGATACAACACTTAATGATAGTCATAGGGTACAATAAGCAATCAAATCATACTAGGAAATAGTCAATATAGATCGTAAGGACACAAGCAACAAAGTTACAGTCACAGTCACAAAGTTACGGTCATACAGTCACAATAATTTTTTTAGCAAAGTGATGGCGTTCTGGAAAAAACTGTCCTTGTGTCTAGTTGTTCTGGTGTGCAGTGCTCTATACATCGTTTTGAGGGAAAGAGCTGAAACAGTTTATGTCCAGGATGTGAGTGGTCTGTAAATATCCCAGTATTACCTCCTCCTTTATGTTAACTTCCTTTTCTTCTCAGATTGGAATACTTTATTTCGCTCCATATCCTGCAACATTCTTAGATTTTCAAGATATGAACATTCTTGTTGAAGAAGCAGTAAAATCAGTTAGAGGCACAAATGATGTATGGATTAGAAAGTCACAAAATTGATATATTTTAAGAGGGGGAAAAACCTTCACATGTGTTGCCAAACAGATTTTTTCTAAGACACAAATGAATCAACTATCTGGCTATTAAAAAATGCCAAATTTTAAAATATATCAATACGTATTAATAGACATAGTCAAAGAGCACAATGACTTGTACCATGCATATTTTGCCATTTTTGAATTGTTTTAGTAAAAACAATTTTTAAACTTTTAAATGTAATACAGAAATGTATTTGTTCAAATAATCATAAAACTTAATGTTTAGCAAAAGTGGGTCAGGGAAAGAAATTTTCAAGACAGTACAGTAGACAAAACTAGAAAGCTAGATTGTTTATTCCTACTTATTTCCATGCCTCTGATTACTTAAACCTATTCCATTACACTAAATTTTACATGGTGAGTTAAATTAAGGCAAGTTTAATTAGTATAATTAATTTATGTTATGGTCAAACAAACAAAGGAGCTTGGTTGCAGACTTCCAATGTAGAATTAAAATATAGAAAATAGGAAAGTAGGACTTGATGAGATTTAAGGATTTAATGGATTTATATTTCAATTTTACCTATTTTATAGACAAGAAGAGTAAAAGAACCATGAGTAACTATTTTATTGACTGCTTCAGTCTTGTATCATTTTGAATAAAATTTACAAAGCAATTTACATCCATGCAGTATTCTAGAGTCCTTGTAACATAATATCATGGATATGTTTCTAACTTTTTAGAACTGTCACAGCACAAGGATGAAGCAGAAAATATATTTTCCTTTAAAAAGGTCCTTTTTAAGATAGTTTTTAAACATTTGAGCTACAGTTTCTACTTATAGAAATGGTATTTAAAGCAATAAAATGTGACTTTTAACTTTATAGTAAAACTTTAATGTGCTTATCTTGCCAAAATCATTTTATGAATTGTTGTGAGTTTGTGGTTGTTAAGACAAACAAGTCTTCAACTTAGTTCAAGAACTGCAATTCACCATCAATTCCGGAGAATTCTTTTTATTTATTCTGTTTTGTGTAACATTTATTTTAATATTTTAAAATGGTAAGATATCTTGCAGAACCATTTTATTGATCATTAAATAATAATAATTTAATACTGCATTCCTGTGGGCTATAATACTAGGATAAATCTTACAAAATATATGAATTCTTTCTGTGTGGACAAGGAGGCTGAAAAACAATCAGAGAATCATTTGGCTACTTTGTACTCTTCCCTCCTCCAATCATAAATGAACCAGTTTAATATATTTTATAGTTTTGTTAGAATATTCAAGGGGACTCATCTCCCCCCATCTTAGGAACAGTTAACTATTAACACAATTACACTTGGATGTACATTAAAGTCAAAGGGTTCTATGGAGAGTTGTGAATGTCAGTGAATACTTTATGTCTAGTCTACTTTATGTCTGCTGTTTCTATATTATTAAGCACAAAGGACTATTGTCACAAGACGAGTATGGAGTACGAAGTGCCCAAAGTGTGTGCACGCATGCATGCCCAAACTGCAAGGCACGCGAGAGCATGTGCACATGCCTGCATATGCGTGGCAGACACCCAAAGACCAGCTAGCTGATGGGAGGCAGGGCCTCCCAACAGCAGCAACTCTGCAAGAGGTGAGATCTTTATCTTTCGTGAGCTTATGTTTTGTCATTGAGCTTCATCATCAACAGGGAGAAACACCATGGAAAAATGCAATGGAGCTGAGCTGGGGTGACAGAGTGTGTGCCCACAGAGAGGGCTCTGTGTATCACCTCTGGCATGCTTGCCATAGATTCACCACCACTGACCTAAAACATGGGATTTTTCAATTGTGCCGGGACTTCAATGTCAACTATCTCCAATAGGAATGGGTGCCATACTAGCTAAAAATTATGTCTGAGAAAATCTGAAAAGTGTCAAGATTGTAGAAGACAGGGATTTTATACAGAATATATTCATAACATAGGACCTGATCACTTATAGGTAGCAACATTGCTCTTCCATATCTTCTGTCCAGGTTGTACAATCAAGCAGACTAGGCAGGCTTCAGATTTTGTCCATAAATTCATGGAGACTTACAAACTGTGCCTTTTCCCCTCATGGTGCCTGACTTCTAGAACTTATTCTCCCTGAGATATGTCTGATTCCCCATTTTGGCCATGGTTTGACCTCCAAACCTGATTTTGCTCTCAGATCTTAGGTTAGGCAAGTCCTATGTAAACCATTGTTCTTTAATTGTTGCTTTTTTCAATGGTATTCAATTAATAATTTTACTGCATGATCTCCAGAGTTATTGAAGAGTTGAGTAAATTGCATACATTGCTAAATAAATATATACCATGATAAAATCTATGAAATCACAAAGCATCTGCTTTGGAAAGAATAATTTTACCATATCGTAAACAACAGTTACCTTATATCGCTTTTTACATCCAGGAACAGGACAAGCAAAAGGTTTCTCATCTCCTCCATTCATACACATAGAACTTAGGATAGCTTCCGAACTGATAGCACTTTCTGTGGTCCAGGACTCGTCACTATCTGAATCTTCATAGTCTACTTCTTCTTCATCATATTCACTACCTAAGAAGACATAAAGCAAGAATTAAATACAGATAAACTAAAACATACTCTGGTAATTGAAAAGGCAAAGGATCTGTAAGCTCTAATAATAAATGTCAAGGAGAACAGTGAAAATGGGACGAACATTAAATAAGATAACCAAGCTAATGACAACAGGAGCAACAACCAGTCTTAGAATTGACAATGAAGATAATGAAGTGGTAAATGGTTTCTGTTTTTTTAGGATCAACTAACAATAGTAAAGAAACAAACAATCAAAAATATACTGTGGACTAGCCTTTGATAGAGCAGCAAGCTTTTGAAAAGGTATCCAAATGCTGTGATGTAGCTATATCTACGAAGATCAGAACAGTGCAGGCAATGGCATTTTCTTAAAGTAAAAGTTGGACTTTGCAGGCTAGAAAAACTTGACCTTTTTTCAAATTTTCAAATGGATCATCAAACAAATTAACCTGAGTTCTCATTCAAGACACAAATGAGCAGGCACAAATCATTACACTTGGGAAACATTACGCAAAGACCTAGATCTCTGGAGAAGGCTCCAATGCTGGGAAAAATGGAAGGAAACAGAAGAAGAGGACATTGAACCAAAATGGATATATTCAATTCTAGGGTCTATGAATGCAACATTATAAGACCTAAAGCAGGATAGATGGAAAAAATATATTTATGTGGATTGCTAAAAGTCAACACTGACTTGATAGAAGATAATTGATCTATTTTAAAAATCCAATTTTAATTTACTGATAGCTATTTTTTTCCTGCTTTACTTCCCATCCTATATAACTAATAGATTAGTCTTAATTACAATGTTTCTTATTACAGTCAGGACACAAAATCTTTATTGGCTAAATAATTGTTGCAATATATTGCACAAACCACCTTTTAGCTTTACTCTGAATATTGATGTCCAGAAGAGTTTTATTAGGGAAAAGGAGACAATAAGACTGAATATTTTCTTCTTTTCCTCTTAAAACCAAAGGAGATTTTTTTAAGGTTTTCTTTTTCCAGGAAATCATCTGAAAGGCATAATTTTCTAGATAATAAACAGTATAAAATAATATGTTGACAAGCCTTAATGTGTTATGTGCCCTTTGGAATTAATAGAAATTATAGCGTAACACTAATAAGAATTGCATGCTAGCAATTTGTCCAGATGTGAGGATAACTGCATTGTGCACATTCGTAGTTCAACACTATGTTATCAAAGTGCAGCAATCATCTGCAGAATGTGCTTTTCAAGTTTTAAAATTTAATTTTTAAAGTTATCATAAATATGAATGTCTCTGTATGAGATGATCATTAAAAAGAATGAAGAGCATTGAGAAAGCAGACTTTAAATGTGTAGGTGTGTGTAACAACAGTTCTTAAATTCATTTGTGTGCCATGAGGAAAAATAATGTTTTTAATGTTTGTTAAGTTGTTAAAGACTAATATCATTCAGGATTTTTCTTTCCCATATTTATTTATTTAACAAATGGCAAATACATGGACTTATAGTGATTCAAATGTCCACCTAGCCATTCAAGGACATAGTAGTCTATGTTGAAAAAAATCAGACATTGAACCGGTGTAAGCTGTTGATGGAATTCAGACACAATGTGATGGATATCATTGAGAGGTAGAGACAAGACCTCGCTTCTTTCCCATAAACCATGTATTTACCAAGCCTTCAAATCTTTCAATCATACCCAGCATTAATCTTAAGCAAGGATAAAAGGCATAAGGAATGGTCTTGGAAGAATGCAAGGGACAACCGATAGATTGGGCTTGAACCTTGGCCAAATTTCTCAGAAGAGCCCTTCCCTAGTTCACAAGAAACTAAAGTGTGCAAGATTCTGTTACTCAGATTTGCAAGATTCTGTTACTCAGATGTTGAAATAAAAGTAGTCCTCACCTATATGACATTGACCGCTTCTGTTCTAGGCTGTTACTCACCAGGCATACAAAGCAGACAAAAAGTGCTAATGAAATGGAAGTAGAACAATGTTTCTGTGGAACCATTAATATAGACATCAGGCTTGAAGACCTATCTTCCATCTTTCTGCAAAATGATTCTATCTTTCCTTACCAATATCAGCTATAAACAGCCTGAAATTGGTACTGTTTCATGTATGTTTCTTGTAGGTGAGATTTCCACAGGGTTCACATCTTACTCTAAGTCAAATTGGGTGTGTTACAAATCTTGCCAAACTAATGACAGCTGATGCATGACCTCCAGAAACTAATCACACACGCAGATCTTGCTTTATGTCTACCATCTCTCTAATAACTATAGCTGGCAAATCTGCCAACAAGAATTCAAATTCTGAATTTCTGATTACCACTGGCAGACCATGGAGTTATTGCATGTTTGGATATTAACAACTTACATTGAGATCTCTTTTAACAACAATCCTGTAAAGTAGGTTTGGCAAAGAACGTGACCCTTGTAATCCAATAGTATGAAGTGAAGACTATGGTTAAGGGGAAATGTGAACTTGGGTTTCCTTGGTGAAGCCTAATGACTTCAGTGGAAATCTACAGCTGGCAGTTGAAGCTGGCAGTTGAAGACAGATGAATTAAGAGGCAAATTGGTTCCTTTAAAATGTTTTAAACTTTACGCCTATAAATCCCAATCAGTATGTTGATATTGTGTCTTCTGTGTATGCTTTTGTCAGTGAAAATTTTATCAGCCAACAAATTACATTTTGAGATGCATCCTAAGAATATGTTTAGGACCAAGTTACAAAAGATAATGCAGAGGAAGGCATGCCATCACTAGCAAAATTCTGTTTGTTAGGATTCTTTCAGTCTGCAATATTTTGTAATGCTCTTTACTTAGAATCTTGACAGATACAGTATATCCCAAGATGTTCAATAAGCTTTAAAAATACTTGCAGCTATTAATATTTTAAAGGATTGAGCTGTTAAATGAATTATATATCTTTAGGATTGGTGTACATAACGGCATCCAAGGAATTATGTTTCTTTCTTGTTTACACAAGCATGGAAAGTTGAGCTTTGTTTGTCATATATCATTATTCACAATATCCTTTCATTTAAGCAATGATTTTTTTTCTTTACATAACCAACCTGAGCTTTATCAAATCTTTATTATAGACCAACATAAATATCCCCTGAACAGGAATAAAGCAAGATAATTAAAGTTACAAACTTCTCCAACTCAAGATTAATGTTTACAAAAGTCAGGAAAATTGTTTACCAAAACAGCCTTCCTGACTTGACTAGGAATTTTAGTAGCGCCAATATCTAAAGGGCTGGAGAATAAAGGGAAAGCTTAGCTACATATTCATTTGCTCTGTGGCTGAGGTTGGTTGACAGATTTCCAGGCTGCATAAAGTTTTTGATGGGCTCTTTTCTTTCTTTCTTTGGTGAAGTGTTTTGATTGAATAAATTGCAGACATTTTCAGCAATGGCAGGCAAAAAGTTGTTATTAGGGATGTTGAAATCAGCTGGTTGATTTAACTTGCCGAAGGAAAAGTGCATGTTTCTGGCATGCCAAATGAGAATATTTTTTTGCTAAGATATATATGTTTGGCCTTTTGTTTCGCTTTCTTTACAATAATTGAAGATAATATAAGAAACAAAATTAACACCAAGTCAAACTCAACATTCTCTAAAATACCAATGAATGTGACTGATATTTTATACAGTTTAACAATGACAATGATTGCTCTTACAATGCACTTTCTCTAGATTCCCAAGTAGGACTTTTTGCCTTGTAAAAAGTACAAGTAGCAATCTCAATCATTTTTTTAAAAATACTACACAACAACTAATTAAGTTAGTTAATTTAATTGTAGAAAAATCATATCCAACTATATGAAATTGAACAAATACTAAACTATTTTTATCAGCTCTTCATTATTAAGTTCAAATCCATCACCTTCAACAATTTTTCCTGCCTTAACAATAATTGTTTCACACTTGTCCATGCCAAATTGCATTCCAATATCCCTGCTAAACTCCTCAATGCTTTTTAATGGTGAACTCAGTTCAGCTTTTGTTTTTCCAAACAAATTTAAATCATCCACATAGAGCAAATGGAAAATTTTCAACTTTTTTTTGCCAATTCATAGCCAAAGTTTGTCTTATTCAAAATGCTTGTTAGTGGTGCCATTGGAAGTACATATAACAGAGATGACAGTGAGTCACCTTGAAAAATTCCCATTTGATTTCAACTTTACCAAATTCTTCTCCACAGGCCATCAACTTAGTTTTGATAGCTTCATGGAAATCTTCAGGAATCTCTAAATGTTGTTGCTAATTCCAAAAATTCCTGTTAACTATTTCTCAATCCAACTATGTGGAACAGAATCAAATGCTTTCTTATAAGCAATCCATGAAATTTGTTTTTCTTTCAATTCTTCAAAACCAGTTTGCCAATCATCAATTGGTCTTTGGTTTCTCTTGAATTGTTATAGTACCCTTTCTGCTCTACTAGCAGCAAATCCTTGCTTCCAGATATCCATGAATTTGGTTTGCAATAATGCCTGTAAGTCAGAGGTGGTATTCAGCAGGTTCTGACCAGTTCTGGAAAACCGGTAGCAGAAATTTTGAGTAGTTCAGAGAACTGGCAAATACCAACTCTGACTGGAGATTTTATAATATCCTTCCCCTGTCACACCCACCAAGCCACGCCCAAAGAACCAGTAGTAAAAATTTTTTAATCCCACCACTGCTGTAAGTATGTTTTCAACTGGCAAGTTATTGGCCTGTAATTTTATTTCGCTTTTCTGCATCCTTCTGAATCAAAGTAGTTCTTCCAGTTAACCATTTTTCTCTTTCTGGTGTTTCCAGGACCTGATTTATCTGGTTTGCTAATTTTGCATGCAAACCTGTTAGTGATTTCAACCAGAATCCATGCATCTTATCTAAACCTGGTGCACTCTTAATTTTTGATTTTTTTTCATTTTGTACCATTTTTGTTGTTATGTAAACATTTCCATTCTAGTCACTTTTATAGTACTTTCAACCTGCTTGATCCACTTGGCATT